AGCCAAAAAGCTTGAGATTGCCATGTCACATACGCCCTTCGACCCAGCAAAACCAAGACAATGACGAAGCAGCCAAAACGTCACAATTCGCGCTGGTTTTAACGGCAATGTCGCCCCTCACATGGCGAGGCGTCGCTGTCCTAGGAGACGAAGTGAATAGAGCCCGCAAGTCGGCACAGTTTGCCGTCTGTGTGCATTGTGTTTTTCTAGTTGTGTGCACTTTAAGCATCTAAAAGCGCTAAGTTATTACACCTTGAGGCCTCGATGAAGCTTGCGCTACGCGCGTTGGGGCTTGCATCTTGAGGGTGGATCACCGTGAGCTTCGGACACCAGCCAGCCAAACGCCTTCACACTCACTTCAGGCCAGCCATGGACTGGATGCTAAGCGCAACCTACTAGCTGTGTTGTGTGGTCAGAGAGTGGGCACAGAAAAGGGAGTACCGTCATGTCCGTTCGTAACTGTTGCTAGGCGTGCTGTGTGAATTCCTCGAAATCACAGCATATGAGACAATACAGTCCTATCGCATATAGTCACCAAGGCATCTTCATGCCAGCAGCCTGCAGCCCAGGCCGCTCTTCTTCTTGCGCCAAACAGAGGCGTTCGATGAACTTTCAAGAACTTTAGAGATATGCTATTCTGTGTGGGCCGTAATGGAATGTTGTTTTACGACTTCAAGCCTTCCTAGTTTCCGTCATCGAGATGCTAACGCCAATGAGCTGGGCAGCAAAGTTTCTGACTAACGCAAATAAAAGGCACTGCAAAATCTTTACACTTCATGAGGAGGCAAGGCTTCGCGCGTTCTTGTGCATCACAAATGTGCACCCGCCTACAGCCTTTTATAAATCGCAATCAACGCAATCAAAGCATCACAAGTATAGAAACGTGGCTCGCAGGCCACAACTAGGCCTCAGTCGCCTGCACATATTTATGCAGAATTGTAAGAAATAGTAGATCGACTGCAGCTTTTGGAAATCAAGACAAGTAGTGGACTACTTAGGCGGGTACACTATTGTGTGGCTTGCTAGAAACAAACGGTTCTTCGGTGTTCTGAGTCGAGGCTTGTGAATTCGTAAGCTTGTGCTACGCACCGCCTATACACAATTCAGATGCCAGCAGTACAGCTAACATTGCACACTTCATCGCAGGTGGTGCATTTGTTGTAACTGGAGCTCTAATGAAACGCGTCCACCCAATGTCTGACTATGGAACAAAGAACCGATCCATAAAGGCCGTACGGCCGTGCCAAGTGATTGCGTTCCTATGATAAAAGCTTATGCACATTTGAATTTCTTTCTAGACCGAAATAGCGGAGTGACGGAGGATGCAAGTTCCGGGGGCCAAAAATAGCTGCTGCGACATCCTCTGCTTGCGTCACGCGTGGAAGGGTTGTCGCCAGAAACATTATTTTTACACCTAATTACTGTAAAAAGAGCTCATTTTGAGGCAACGTTTCACCGAAGTCACGTCGAGCAGTGGTTTGCTTCTGCGATGCGTTGCACTGAATGTCAACAACAGCATCCCATTTGCTCCCAGCCTACCCAACACTATATCTGCAGAGCACACTTCTGAAGCAACTCTTGTCGTTGTGCTTGCTCAATCTCTATACAACTGAAATTCAGTGCTCGATCGTGGATCGACGACGTGTACATTACTGCAGACGTCAGTAGTAAAGTCTTAGTAATTGCATCACGCAAGCGATAGTGCTCCTAAACGAACGGTCGTGTTCACCATCTAGGTGCTGTTCACACCCAACTGGAAAGCCCAAACGAAAATGAACTGCTCAGCGCTGTTTAGCTAGTCAGAATTAACGTTACATCTGTGCCTTCGACCCTAATCAGCATTCGACAACACGCGTCTCTTCAGTATAAAATTCCTTATTTCCACGTAATTTTTCCTGCAAAGTTCTTACAAATGCACGCCGCCAAAAAATGCAACAAACCTATGTGAGGCCAAGAAAGTTCAAGTGTATCCCCGCACACCAGCAAGTGCGTTACAACCCTAAAAAGGAAGTCACTTCATTTTTGCTGATGCGTATAAACATACTTTCTAATTTCCAGCGCAGAAATTAACACGAAAAAGTAGTAAAAGATCACCTTGAACTGAGGGACTCCAATGCCAAAATTTGATAATTTCAAGTGTTTACCTGTCAACTTCGATACGAACGGTGTCGGCGCAGCAGGACAACGTTCTTGTTTCGAAGATACATTACATCACATCTGCAGTATTGCAGCTCAAGGTAGCTAAGAACACGAAGGCTAATAGCTGTAGACGAATTCAGTCAGCGCTCACATATTGAATCTCACTGCCAGTGCCTTGCGCATATACATGCTCACAGATGCGGGCGTCCAACTTTGATCGTGGCACTACGTACAATCTGTTTGACAAGTGCGCGGTCACATTGAAGACCAGCAGTTTATCCGCCTTCATTTAATCTCGCTGTTTTCAGGATGAATGCCTACATGCTCTTCAAGCACGCCGCTCGTTCGGCATACATTTGCCCAATGACGGAGCTGCACATAATGCCATGTCATTTTTGCATGGACTGGACTAGAAACAAGCAAAAGAACATTTTGCGGTTGCCTGAAGAGCTCTACAATGCATATTCTGCATGCGTGCGTCAAACAGGAAACTTAAACTTACCACTTCAAGTGTTCGAGAGATTGCCATCAGAGCTATGGAGCGAATTGGCCCATACAGTATCAGTGACTGCTGAAACGACACAATGCCGAAGCCTCTAGAAAAGTCCTTCAGTGATCCATGTCGATCATCAAATCATAGAGGCAATATCTCGTCACGATATGCAGAAGTAGCCTTCCGCAGCGCATGCTCAGCGATGAACGTCAATTTACCACTTAAAAAGATTCGAAATATACCTTCTCAATAGCATAGAAAGCTATGAAGCTGCCAACACAGACCGAAACTGATTCGCATAGGTGACCGCAGAAAGGACACACTACCCTCACGCCTTCCTCTTGCACAGCAAGTACTGTGCTTCACAGTCAAACTGCCTGGAAATGAAGAAGCCTCGCACACGACTTCATTTGCGCGACAGTATGTGAGGCACAGGCACTTGTCTACCCTTCAGACACGCAAATGTCCACGCAGCAGTGGCCTCTAAGTTGCAATCAAACACACTGCTCAAACCAAATCATTTTTTGGCGGGAGCATTTTCAAGGAACAACCCAGTCCCAAACACCAAGCGAAACAATTGTGTAAGCGAGCATGATATTGCAATGGATACAGTGTACAAAACACTCTTAACGAAAAACTGTCCGCACTTGCACCAAATTACGTTGCCTTACCCGCCCTGTCGTAAAAGTCAGGTTCAATATGTCTTACGCAACTACCACTCCACTAATGGCCTGCAACGTTGCAGCAGTTAACGAGATGCATTTGTAAATGCTTGGCGCAACTCATCAGACGCTAGCCACTCTCTATTCCAACGAGTCTGTGATGAACTTGAGTATGTTACAATTGTACGGTCAAACGGACTCGTGTTTGTCTGCTGGCGAAGAGATGAATCAGCGTAGTCCGTTTGCCGTTTTTGTGGACGCTTTTAGAGCAGCTTCAGCCAAGTACTTTGCTGCCTACTCTCTTCAAACATTAATGTTGCAGAATACTAACAGCACAATTACCACAAGGGAACCCGTGCATTGACTTAAATGCGGCCATCCCTGACTGATGCTTACTTCAAGATCCGGTCACTGCTGCAGTTTCCCTTTAGTGTGCTGAAAAGAGTCCGGGTGCTAAGCTAATAGCTGCTGATATCCTGCTATTTTACGCGCTGCTGCCGGTACGATGTACCTGAAAATAAGTTTTCAAGGCCACATACACCCGGCCTGCAAAGTGGAAACGTGCCTTTATCAGAACTCATTGTTTCACTCACTCGTCTTTCGAATTCGCACTATAGACGATAAAGTACCATGAAGCAAAGCAATCAATACGCACGGTCTTCAAAGAAAAACATGGGCACGAACGGCTTCACTTTCGTGGTTGGCTGCGCACAATACCCGTGAACAACAGAGCAGCCGTGAACAGCATAGCACTCACCATATGCAACCGTTTGAGCTCCATCGTACCCCTTATTACACATTTACGTGGCACAATCCCAGTAGTCCCTGAAACTGTCGCAGTCGAAGCAAGTGCAAAACAGTCCGCTGAAGTTGCAAACAATCTCGTGAGTCAAGCTGTTTACCGTGCCTCTGCGGAAGCCTGGAAACCAGACAAGTCACTCGTCGCAAGCATGGCAGCACATGCAGCCAATGCAGTTGGTATTGCAGCAACAGTACGCATGAATCGCCATATTGCTGAATATGCGTTGTGCCTCACGATTGACCAGTACTGTGAGTGGAAAAGAATTTCGATGATACCTGTCCGCGCTGTGAAGAAAACTACAAGCAACCGCAGCGGCTCCAAACTGGTCTCTGCGGTCCTGTATGTCACATGCACTTCAACTGCCACCCGAAAGCGCCATCTACACGAGATGGCAGCAATACTTAAAGGCTACACAGTTCGGCAGTAATGAACTCAGAAAGACACAAGCTGGCAGGTGTTCCGTTATAAACACTGTGTTCAACGACGTTCCGCATTGTCACTCCGCCCATCTACTGCGAAATTGTGGCAGTGAGCGAGATGTATTGTTAAACCTTCGATGCAACCTACCAGACGTCAGCCATCCTCCATGCAATTGCAGCCGACATCGATGTGTCTATGAAGAATTTGGGCTCCTTGCAACCATGCGGTCGAGCTGGCTCGTGTTTGTGTGCTACCGAAGCAGCACCAGACATATCGCCACTTAGAGAGCACCAGACATATCGCCACTTAGAGACAATCAGTCAATCCTTCTTTGGTCTCGAAAGGCCCACCGACCGCATGGCGCGCAAGCCTCATTGTACTACACAGAATACCGTCTACGCAGGCGGGGGCTCGCAGTGTAGTATGTAACTACTAGGCAAGGCCACTTCAGTGTATTAACCTACTTGCTTCGAACCAAAAACTGATGACAGAGCTGCAAATAAACTCACGTACCAATCACAACGGCAAGATTTCCTCTCATGCGGATATTCCACATCTCAAGCAGCATTTCACAAGCTTCGTGGTGTCCCAGAATCACACTTCACGTTCTGGACAGTGCAGAAAGGACACTACAAACAGGTAGCTCTCATATGCCATCTATTTTGGGCGCAATGCGCAGGGTCAATTTTAATTGTTCCTGTTGCGGATAGACACAGATTTCCTTTTTGCGTTAGCAAAGTCTTTCGCCAATTTCAGGCTTCGCCTTCAGTGGGCACGTTTGCGTAGCCAAATGCTGCATTACATATACTTGTGAACACCGGCGCATTAGACTGCAGCAAGATTGCGAGCAGCAATTAGAGTATTCATACTTTCGACATAAACGTGCTCCAACGCTTCCTACGCCAACAGATCACTGACAATCCATTTATTAGTGCTTCATCAGCTTGCCACAATCCAGAAGCCAGTCATTTCGCAGTACTGCTGCTATAACTTGTTGAGTAGCTACCGCAACGTCTCGACCCACAAAAGAACAAGAAGCATTCTCCAGCGACGGTTCAGCATCTCTACACAGGGAAGCCCTTACAAAGCCATATGCTCTCCCCAGCAGTGTTTGCTTCACGCGGAAGGCGCACATGAAGAACACAAGTTCAATCTGCACAGTTTTCTAGGGCCTAATGGCGCCGATCATACCTGAGTGTATCGTTCAAGTGCGAACTGTTGCATAACTGCCGCACCTGGTCCACAGTGAAATGCGCCAACACCGCAGTACGCCACCTTTTTGATAAATCTACTGGCTTCCAACGTAGAGTTTCGCAATCACCCTGGCCTTCCACCCGTAAACAAGATGCCATATCAAAGCAGGCTGAACAATGAAGCCTCCGCAGGTGCGCAGGTACCCACAAGCTGCATTAAGACCCAAAGAATGCACTCAATGTAGCGTCTTGTGTGTCTGCTCCATGCAAATGCATCCCGGCAGATTGTGCCAATGCCTGGCAACAACAGCTTTGTTGCCAGACGTCAGCGGGTCTGTACGTGGTCGGCGATGTCTGGTGACTAGTGCAGAAACGGTCAGAATGAGTTAATTCACAATGCTGTAGCTGCAGACCAACGGTGGCAAGCCGCAATTGAAACATCTGGATGCTTTCCAACGATCATGTGGCATAGCAATAGAATTTCACGGAGATGAATCTGTAGATCTTTCACACCGTACAGCTTGGTCAAACGGACGTAAAATTTGGCAACAAAGTCGTCAACTCATCAGCATCTCCGTTATCTCACAAGTCAACATGTTGCCAGAAAAATGACACATCTTCCAAAGCATACGTCGATTTAGCGACGATGTGAGCTTCGCAGCTGCAGCAGCGTAAATTGGTCAACAGGGAAGCCCAAAGTGACCCTGAAAAGAATCCGAGGAACAACAATACTCTGCTGCACTTCAAGTCTCGCCAGGTATTATGTGTTATCATCCAAGTAACAAAGACACCTCAAGTCTTCTCTGAATGTCGCTTCAAAAAGCAGATAATTAATGTTATCTGTTCAGTGCGAAGTCTGTAGTAAACTTCCTCTAGCATATTCCCCGTGGCTCAGGAACCCTAGGTCACATGAGCGTTCACATTTTACGGGTGACATCATACTGCTGAGCCTCTAATCGACGCCAATCTCTGCAAAGTGCGCACGTGCATGTGCAAAATTGAGGCCAATTAGTATTTCGAGCAGTGCCCGATCTGTGCACTTGCAAAATAGTTACATTTTGGTCTGTTCTATTTGCTGGGATAGTAAAATTATCGTACTGAACTAGATATGACTAAAAGTGCAAGAATCCGGCACAAGGCCAGGCTGAGAGTGTAAGAAATGCATGAGCCATGTAGCGAACCCATTGCAAGCAACCGGGTTTCGCAAATAAACAAAAAACAGCAATGATAGACCAAGACAATAATATACAATTAATAGTCTTCCATATACACACAGAGTGCCATCAATCCTCCAGATGCCAGCACTGCGTATTTATGGCGGACAGCAAGCACCCTTAAGACACCACTTCATCGTCTTAAAAGAACTTCTATCCGCCTTCTGCAGCTATAAGCACCAAACACGACATGCCTCCGCATTCAATTGACGCTGGAAATATGATCCCGCGCACGCCACCACTAGCAGCGCAGTTGCACTGCAAAAACAATGCCTACTACATACAGATGAACTATTCATGGGCACATTTAGTGCGCGCTTCACACTCACAAGTGTCTCGTCCGCACAACAAATAAAATACAGACGGCAACGATTATGCTCCATCATAGCCAGGACGTCTGGTATGGGTGTGTCAGAGCATGTATGCAAAAGAAGGAAAAGGCTGAAGATTTGGTACCAACGCCAGGAAAACAAATGCTCGTGGGCACCTTGAAGCAGTTTGCCGCAGTGGCTCAGGAGCTTGCTATAGGAAAGTTGTATCAATTCTAAATGCTCATGATAAAATTTAGTGAAGCTGCCGGCTGCCTCTCGTCGTGCTATGAAAACACTCTTTCGTGGCAGCAATTACTTCAATGGGCGCACTGAGTAATTTCATCTTCACACAAAACGCAAGTTGTCCGACACACCTGTTAATTGCAATAAATGTAAAGAGCAGTAATGTTCGTCCACTTTCCGCCCCTGCTTGTCAGCGTCTCCCAACTTTGCTGCACTGAATACCACAGCAGTTTTCGGTGTAACGTACATCCTGTGAAGTTGCCCGCATGAACAAGCGTGCAGACGTCTACGTATGAAATCTTGCCACCATTTCAAATTTGTGCTTTTACAGAACCTACCTTCAAAACTTGTGTGTTTGGTGCGCCGGACAAAGCGTTCACATGAGTGGAAATCCCTGCGCCTACGCGTGCTTGTGAAGGTGCCGATGCTACACTTGCTGTTCGGCTCATTTGGAAACGCTTGTAAAGCATCAATCGCCGCCAGCTGACCTGATTTAATTTCAGTCTGCCCTTGTTCTAAGGGTGTATCCGGGAATACAGAGCTAGCCGCAAATGATGCTCCGCCTTCCAAGCAAAGGGCCGCACAGAAGACAGACGCAGTAAAGCAATAACGCAGAATAAATTAGTGAAGCCAAAAAGCTTGAGATTGCCATGTCACATACGCCCTTCGACCCAGCAAAACCAAGACAATGACGAAGCAGCCAAAACGTCACAATTCGCGCTGGTTTTAACGGCAATGTCGCCCCTCACATGGCGAGGCGTCGCTGTCCTAGGAGACGAAGTGAATAGAGCCCGCAAGTCGGCACAGTTTGCCGTCTGTGTGCATTGTGTTTTTCTAGTTGTGTGCACTTTAAGCATCTAAAAGCGCTAAGTTATTACACCTTGAGGCCTCGATGAAGCTTGCGCTACGCGCGTTGGGGCTTGCATCTTGAGGGTGGATCACCGTGAGCTTCGGACACCAGCCAGCCAAACGCCTTCACACTCACTTCAGGCCAGCCATGGACTGGATGCTAAGCGCAACCTACTAGCTGTGTTGTGTGGTCAGAGAGTGGGCACAGAAAAGGGAGTACCGTCATGTCCGTTCGTAACTGTTGCTAGGCGTGCTGTGTGAATTCCTCGAAATCACAGCATATGAGACAATACAGTCCTATCGCATATAGTCACCAAGGCATCTTCATGCCAGCAGCCTGCAGCCCAGGCCGCTCTTCTTCTTGCGCCAAACAGAGGCGTTCGACGAATTTTCAAGAACTTTCGAGATATGCTGTCCTGTCCAGAGCTCTAATGAAGCAATGGCCTATTTAAACCATTCCAGATACAGAGATAGCACATAACGCTGATAGCAAGCACTCTAGCTTTTGCCTGTTTTTATCTATGTTATGCCTTATTAGGAAACGTGCACTGCAAAATATTTACGCGTCAGCAAAGCCTGGTCGCTGTGCACCGATTAACTCCACCAGGCAGCGCCCTCCAAGGATGTTGCCTTACAGTTGTGCGCCCACGTACTGCCTTCAACCCAAAGTGTTCAACGCAAATACAAAACGAACGCAATTTAAACTGAAAATTTGAACAAACGGGATTACAGAAAAATAAATAAAGTGCACTGCTTGTGAGGCCATTTCCTTTGTAGATGAAGATGTTGGGTGCGGGAAATCTTGAGTCAAAGCCACAACTGCTTTATTTGGACACCACGCAATTCTGAGATACCTTTTACGTATTTGCCACACTCTATTCCATCCGCGCTTCACGATTATGCATTGTAGATCCATATGTCCTGGCGTGACAGCGATTTGCTTCATCAAGCCTGCACAGATATGTTAGCAGCTACAACGTTCGCAAAGAGGCTTATTGCGACTCGCACCAGCTATTAAAAAAGTTCAACAAGTCAGCATCTGCTCTGAATGGATTTTGGAATCTTAAAAGGCAATGTACAGAGCAAATATCAGCTACCAGTGGGCCTCCGTTCTCAGAGCCGAAACCAGTACGCAGTGTTCCTGCAAAATTGTTCGAAAACAGTTTATTGTTCTCTAGAGTGGAGAAGCCGCGCAGTGTTTCTCCACACGTACACCCTGGGGCGTGCACGTTGGGTCCAAAGCCACTGGTTAACCGACGTCCTTCACTTGAAAGCAATGCGCACACTAGAAATAGAGGCAATCCACACTCCCAATGTGGACTCAAACTCAGACGCACAATGTTCCCGTTTCATGGAACACAACATGAAGGGACAAATAAACAAAAAGTTCCTGAATGATTGGCTTGTTGTACACACTACTGATTTTACCATGCACTTGAGCCTTTCGCCATATTTGACCATTCAATAATTCAGTGCTCCAAACAGTTTAGCTTTTGAAGACACCCGTTGCGTGACGCACCAGCTGTGCAAGCTCCCGACAAGGAAACTGGCATTGCATTGTGCCAACCTAAAGCCCACCTAAACCGTAAGATACCGTACCACTGAGTCGTGGGAATAGCATCATTAATCGTGAAGCCTAAAACCCGGGACACTCCCATGTGGCTGGCTGTGTGAGCCAGCCTGGCCCGAACTCAGTACCAGCAACACAGCATACACACGAAACTAAGCAGAGAATGTTCACATAACCTCCATTTCAGAACAGATAAGTATGATCGCAGACCTTCTGAAGGACTGCACGCAGTGCCACTGGAATTGGGAAATAGTAGGGATCATGCTAAGCTGTGATGAGAAATTGCTGATTGTCCCGACCGTATGCACCTGCCCTCGTAGGCGGTAGTCCATATATTTTGTACAAAAGATGCCCGCAGTCCTAGGGAGGTGCTCCCGGCACAGCTCAACAGAAGTTTGACCCTCTGCGCCCCAGATTCCTTTTAACCGTAATATATGTTTTTACACTGTACTGAAGTCACTACGAATGCTTCCATTCTACTCCACTCTACTCGGTTGTTGTTGTGTTAGGTGTCGTTGAACGCATTAACCGTTCTCCTTAAATGAACAACGAACTGTGCAAAGGCATAGTCAAAAGCGATGTAAAAGCAAGTCCCCGATGGTAGGGAATTCCCTACCATCGGGGACCTTAAGAAACCAGTGCTCAAGAGGTACGTGCTTACGTAGGTGGCACACGAAATCCAGACATTAATGTGGCCACCAAACTACTGAAATTCACAATGGTGTTTGACCAGTCTGCGGCTACATGCTAAAAGCAGCAAGCCTTTCTTCCGGTTTTTCTGAAGCATTCTACGACAGCAATCATGCCTGCATAAACACAAGTAAGCATGATCGTTGAATACACTTACAACGCCCTAATCTATGCCAGCGACGTAAAGATGCTGTACACCTACGGCCTTCACACGCAAAGAGTCCAAAGACTAGTATCGTCTGCAACAGAGGCTAAAAGCTCCACTCCGTCAAACAAGAAGTTCACGGGCAAATCTAAACCAGCTAGTATAGACAATAAAATATTTTCTATTGCCTATTTCTGCCTACAACGGCAGCCCCATGAAATGCCGCACGTAGCCGTCCATATCAGGTGTGCGGTGTGCCAACAGAAAATAGAGTACTCTCGGCGCCTGCAGTAATACGCAATTGCGCACATTGTCGTCCATGTGTTGACAAAAGCTGTAGCGCTATATAGTGTCCACGGCCGAGAACTGAAGAGGAATTCATTGTGCGTGTGTGTGTGTGTGTGTGTGTGTGTGTGTAAGTTTTCTTTGGCCGTTGGCCCCACTCACTTCTTGCCCGCAGGAACTACCCGATGCAGTCTGCGTTACAGAGCAACCTGACACGTACACGCGCTTTACCAAATGAAACCACATAACGTTCTTCGAACTGGTGGCAAACTTGACGAGGTTAATTGGAAAGAACTGTCAACAAATGATTAACACCCCTCCGTTCACTCCAACTCCATTCCGAACGTTAAGATAAAAGCCAAACGCACTTGATGCTGAAAAACCAACTTACAGAGTCAACGCTACGCAACGTCACCGTCTGCCATCTGTGACTTTGACCAATCTGGATTCTGCTTTTGCCCCACAAAACCACTCCATTCCCTCCAACTCCATTCCACACCTCAGACTCGCCCAAATGCCCTCACGAAAATCCAAGCAAACACGCCTCTGCCGCCACATATACTCCTTCCATACAGTGCTCGAACGACACCACTGGCGAGACAACGTCCTGCAACGCCCACCCAAGCTCCTCCGCAACGCGATCCTACCCTACCCAGCAGCGCGTGACTGAGCTATGCGCCAAACACACTTGCTGCTAAAACCGCAACTTTACAGCGTCAACGCTGCGCAACGTCACTGTCTGCCATCTGTGACGGTGTCCAACTCGGATTGTGCTTCTGCCCAACAAAGGCCACTCCATTCACTCCAACACCATTCCACACCTCAGACTCGCCCAAATGCCCTCACGAATATCCAAGCAAACACGCCTCTGCCGCCACATATACTCCTTCCATACAGTGCTCAAACGACACCACTGGCGAGACAACGTCCTGCAACGCCCACCCAAGCTCCTCCGCAACGCGATCCTACCCTACCCAGCAGCGCGTGACTGAGCTATGCGCCAAACACACTTGCTGCTAAAACCGCATCTTTACAGCGTCAACGCTGCGCAACGTCTCTGTCTGACATCTGTGACGGTGTCCAAGTCGGACTGTGCTCGAACGACACCACTGGCGAGACAACGTCCTGCAACGCCCACCCAAGCTCCTCCGCAACGCGATCCTACCCTACCCAGCAGCGCGTGACTGAGCTATGCGCCAAACACACTTGCTGCTAAAACCGCAACTCTACAGCGTCAACACTGCGCAACGTCACTGTCTGCCATCTGTGACGGTGTCCAACTCCGACTGTGCTCTTGCCCCACAAAGCCACTCCGTGCACTCCAACTCCATTCCACACCTCAGACTCGCCCAAATGCCCTCACGAATATCCAAGCAAACACGCCTCTGCCGCCAAACATACTCCGCCCATACAGTGCTCGAACGACACCACTGGCGAGACAACGTCCTGCAACGCCCACCCAAGCTCCTCCGCAACGCGATCCTACCCTACCCAGCAGCGCGTGACTGAGCTATGCGCCAAACACACTTGCTGCTAAAGCCGCAACTCTACAGCGTCCACACTGCGCAACGTCACTGTCTGCCATCTGTGACGGTGTCCAACTCCGACTGTGCTCTTGCCCCACAAAGCCACTCCGTGCACTCCAACTCCATTCCACACCTCAGACTCGCCCAAATGCCCTCACGAATATCCAAGCAAACACGCCTCTGCCGCCACATATACTCCTTCCATACAGTGCTCGAACGACACCACTGGCGAGACAACGTCCTGCAACGCCCACCCAAGCTCCTCCGCAACGCGATCCTACCCTGCCCAGCAGCGCGTGACTGAGCTATGCGCCAAACACACTTGCTGCTAAAACCGCAACTCTACAGCGTCAACGCTGCGCAACGTCACTGTCTGCCATCTGTGACGGTGTCCAAGTCGGACTGTGCTCGAACGACACCACTGGCGAGACAACGTCCTGCAACGCCCACCCAAGCTCCTCCGCAACGCGATCCTACCCTACCCAGCAGCGCGTGACTGAGCTATGCGCCAAACACACTTGCTGCTAAAACCGCAACTCTACAGCGTCAACACTGCGCAACGTCACTGTCTGCCATCTGTGACGGTGTCCAACTCCGACTGTGCTTTTGCCCCACAAAGCCACTCCGTGCACTCCAACTCCATTCCACACCTCAGACTCGCCCAAATGCCCTCACGAATATCCAAGCAAACACGCCTCTGCCGCCACATATACTCCTTCCATACAGTGCTCTATCGACACCACTGGAGAGACAACGTCCTGCAACGCCCACCCAAGCTCCTCCGCAACGCGATCCTACCCTACCCAGCAGCGCGTGACTGAGCTATGCGCCAAACACACTTGCTGCTAAAACCGCAACTTTACAGCGTCAACGCTGCGCAACGTCACTGTCTGCCATCTGTGACGGTGTCCAACTCCGACTGTGCTTTTGCCCCACAAAGCCACTCCGTGCACTCCAACTCCATTCCACACCTCAGACTCGCCCAAATGCCCTCACGAATATCCAAGCAAACACGCCTCTGCCGCCACATATACTCCTTCCATACAGTGCTCGAACGACACCACAGGCGAGACAACGTCCTGCAACGCCCACCCAAGCTCCTCCGCAACGCGATCCTACCCTACGCAGCAGCGCGTGACTGAGCTATGCGCCAAACACACTTGCTGCTAAAACCGCAACTCTACAGCGTCAACGCTGCGCAACGTCACTGTCTGCCATCTGTGACGGTGTCCAACTCGGATTGTGCTTCTGCCCAACAAAGGCCACTCCATTCACTCCAACTCCATTCCACACCTCAGACTCGCCCAAATGCCCTCACGAATATCCAAGCAAACACGCCTCTGCCGCCACATATACTCCTTCCATACAGTGCTCGAACGACACCACTGGCGAGACAACGTCCTGCAACGCCCACCCAAGCTCCTCCGCAACGCGATCCTACCCTACCCAGCAGCGCGTGACTGAGCTATGCGCCAAACACACTTGCTGCTAAAACCGCAACTTTACAGCGTCAACGCTGCGCAACGTCACTGTCTGACATCTGTGACGGTGTCCAACTCGGATTGTGCTTCTGCCCAACAAAGGCCACTCCATTCACTCCAACACCATTCCACACCTCAGACTCGCCCAAATGCCCTCACGAATATCCAAGCAAACACGCCTCTGCCGCCACATATACTCCTTCCATACAGTGCTCAAACGACACCACTGGCGAGACAACGTCCTGCGACGCCCACCCAAGCTCCTCCGCAACGCGATCCTACCCTACCCAGCAGCGCGTGACTGAGCTATGCGCCAAACACACTTGCTGCTAAAACCGCAACTCTACAGCGTCAACGCTGCGCAACGTCACTTTCTGCCATCTGTGACGGTGTCCAAGTCGGACTGTGCTCGAACGACACCACTGGCGAGACAACGTCCTGCAACGCCCACCCAAGCTCCTCCGCAACGCGATCCTACCCTACCCAGCAGCGCGTGACTGAGCTATGCGCCAAACACACTTGCTGCTAAAACCGCAACTCTACAGCGTCAACGCTGCGCAACGTCACTGTCTGCCATCTGTGACGGTGTCCAACTCCGACTGTGCTCTTGCCCCACAAAGCCACTCCGTGCACTCCAACTCCATTCCACACCTCAGACTCGCCCAAATGCCCTCACGAATATCCAAGCAAACACGCCTCTGCCGCCACATATACTCCTTCCATACAGTGCTCGAACGACACCACTGGCGAGACAACGTCCTGCAACGCCCACCCAAGCTCCTCCGCAACGCGATCCTACCCTGCCCAGCAGCGCGTGACTGAGCTATGCGCCAAACACACTTGCTGCTAAAACCGCAACTCTACAGCGTCAACGCTGCGCAACGTCACTGTCTGCCATCTGTGACGGTGTCCAAGTCGGACTGTGCTCGAACGACACCACTGGCGAGACAACGTCCTGCAACGCCCACCCAAGCTCCTCCGCAACGCGATCCTACCCTACCCAGCAGCGCGTGACTGAGCTATGCGCCAAACACACTTGCTGGTAAAACCACAACTTTACAGCGTCAACGCTGCGCAACGTCACTGTCTGCCATCTGTGACGGTGTCCAACTCGGACCGTGCTTTTGCCCCACAAAGCCACTCCGTGCACTCCAACTCCATTCCACACCTCAGACTCGCCCAAATGCCCTCACGAATATCCAAGCAAACACGCCTCTGCCGCCAAACATACTCCGCCCATACAGTGCTCGAACGACACCACTGGCGAGACAACGTCCTGCAACGCCCACCCAAGCTCGTCCGCAACGTTATCGTCACATCGCTGTATGCACGCGTCTCACCCTAGCCACCAGCGCGTGACTGAGATATGCGCCAGACGCACTTGCTGCTGAAACCACAACTTTACAGCGTCAACACTGCGCAGCGTCACTGTCTGCCATGTGTGGCGGTGCTCAATCGCTATCTTCGCTTTGCCCCAAAAAAGTTACGCTAATGACTAGACAAGACTCGGATGTGGCATCAGTGTGTTGCCGAATACGAAAAAAGCGGCGGCAACTTCATGGCTCCATAGGTAAACTGCAGCCAGCAACCTCGCTCATTAGCGCCAGCGGCACGCATTGAAGCCAAGTACGCAACACGTAGCACATCTTCCCACATATCGCCTGTTCATTCACTGCAACAGCATCGGAACAACAGTAGCACCACAGTTGCGATCCAAACGAATTTAAGCTGGGAGGCGTTTGTCGCAGCAAAAGTACATGAAATGTATTCCCTGATCAAAAAGCGGTACCACATGTGGAATCCACACCATATCATCGTCTGAAATATGAGGTGCCCTCCAGCTGATTCTTCTAGAAAAAAGCTCCAGAAGCCTCCTGCATGGCGCATTCAATTCGTTTCAGAACGCAGATCAGGCGATAACAGTCTGGGACCTGAGTGTTCGCCAGTGCACCAGCAAACCAGTGGCTTTGAACGGACCTAAATATATACTAAACATGCCAGTGCTCAACAATGACGTTGCGCCGATGTATGTGCGCCGAAGACGCTTATCAATATAAGAGGCAACCCTTTGGTTGGCGCTCTACCACGTCATTAGGATTTGCCGCGTATGACCCTGTTGATATTAATGCGACAAAGGCAAGATATGCAAACGCCGTCCGAATACATTTGCCGCCAGCCCCGAGATCAAACAATGACCGTCTACAGCGTCCATATCTTGCGGCACCCTGCACTGATGATATGTCTTTGAAATGGTTCTAAGCTCGCACTAGCGATGCTGAGCACATCTGCTGGGCCTTGGTCAGCAAAACGTTGGTATTTGCACCTGCAGAACAGCTGCCACCGCACTCTCGTCCTAGCAGATTTGCTACGCAGTACTAACGATCAAACCTTGAACGGGAGTCATCATGAACAACTCGCAGATGACCTACAGAGCACTGGTCAGCACCTTCCTCCGCCAGCCTTCTCAGCATAAGACCCATGCCAGCTTTGGTTCCGCGTTTGTTGATGGAACTGAAGCAAGAAATGATTGTGTAAATCAGCGCCATTGCCGCAGCTGCTGCGATGACTAGGAATCTGGCTGTAATTTGACGACGAGCCGCTCCAAGCGAAGGTTGTGCATAAGAGTCGGCAACTGATACATCTTTCACTGTAAGCACAGATTCTTCAGAAGCGACTGTCGCTTCGCCACGGGAGTTCAATGCGCTCTGAGCTCCCGTCACTCCAGCGGCCAAAAAGAAAATACCGAGGGCCAACGACATGTCAAACATTTTCATATGAAAGGCAGTGCAAAAAAGTGCAAATTTATACTGTCTAAAGTTTTCAAAGTGCCTGCAGATAACGCGCCGACAAGTTTTCGTTGCACGATCTAGACCCGGTGCTTTCATCGATCACATCAGCTTTCGACAGCGAACAGTGACCTCATTCCACAGTTAACAAATTTGTCTCTTGGTGCAATATTACAAAATTAGCATTATTATTTCAGGCATATTAATTCTCTGCTGGTTAGTGAGCTTCCAGTTTAAGATTACTCAGTAGCACAAGTGTTCATGCGCAGGAGGCGCATTCATGAAAAATTCAGTCACACAAGGAACTTAGCATGCCACCAACGTGATAGTCAATATCAGCAGCTGACTTGAGCTTATGTATTCTGTGTAGATAGGTGGAAACATTCAACTTTATCGTCTTTGCAGTGGCGGCTTGGCCTCCTGCTACCTAAGACAGCACTGTGACCTTGACGGCTGGACAATGGCTTTCACTTTCCCCGCGTGTACCTAATGGTGAGAGCAACGTATACCAAATTCATTGATGCTTGAACTTCTCAATGCTTTGCACTGGTCGTTTAAATGACAGAAGCAAGCAGCGAGCCCAGCCCTCCGTTACCCATGAGCTGGACCATAGGTCAACGGGCAAGAGTGCACAAGTACTCCTGTTTGCCAATAATGACGCATCTGTTTTCTGAAACTCAGGCAGGTTTCGACTAGAAAAACTTTACGGTGGTGTTAAAGACCCAAAATGATTAACAATTGGACACTTTATAGGTTGATCTAGTAGAATTGACAGAAACCCCGGAAAAACCTGCACTAGTGAGAACTGCGTAAGAGGAAAGGACCTGCGCGAATATTCAATTGCGCTGCATTAGTAGAATACAGTAATTCACTTTTACTCGCGCTGGAATAACTTCGCCTATCTTTGGAGAAAAAATGGGCTCGACTGGGCAACAGCCCATGCGTGCGAAAAGTTGAATTCTCGGTCGCGAGACATGTCTTTACTTGTATTCGCTTGCTCTACATAATTTCGAAGACACACTGTGAGACACATTATTTACTGCCTAGAAATTAGTGCACACACCAGAAGCTTGGTTGCTTCTCGAAACAGCTTGTTTTAGAGCTCATGGAATATTTTCGGCAGTTCTGTCTAGGGTGGAGCAAGACAGTACTGGATAGCCGGCATATGGTGCAGCGAAGCAGAAACAAAGAAGTCTCTAAATAGTTATAGACAGCTTATATTTGCTGCATGCTAGATGTGTTGATTTCTAAACCAGTGCTCCGGCTGAACTTTTCTGGAGCATACAGTGTGTCAGCAGCTTAGATGGCCGCAGCTCTGATCGAGGAAAATCATGCCTGATCCTTAGGCGTTAGTCAATGTTGTCACAGGTGGTCGGTAGTTTCTGTGTGCTTATGCTACAAACAAGTCCGTAAGCATTTGCCGCTTGCTGACAGTTTGACTCTAGAAAACTAAATTCACCAGCAGGTGCTCTCTTCATGCACCAAGCAAGCTACAGTGCATGGTGGAACCAAATATTTCACATAGCTACTGAAAAGTCTTGCACGTAAATGGGTTCATTTCTCCAGTGTCCAATGGTAATGTTGCTGTGGGGTTGCTACGAATGATCATGAGACATTCACGAACTAACCCCACCTTTTGTGTGTGTTGTGCACTCTTATAGAACGTCATCGCAGCCACTCGACAGACCACAGAACGGAAATGAATTATTCTAGACCTACGAATAACTAACTTGCTAATAGCAAAATTATTCGTTTTGCGGTGCTATCTTTGAGTGGCGAAAACACAGACACTGCATTTGGCGGTTTAGATGAGTGCACCCCATTTTCTCGCAATACGCAGCATCTCACAGTCTCATCACGCACTATGAGAACTTCTGAAAATACTGACACCGGCAGGGCATTTCAAACCAGGGTCAACATGGGCCAAGGTTCTGATGCCTGGACATCCTTTTAGGTAATGTTCTTATTTGGACTTTGGAAAAGTAAAGTCTGATTCTGAATCTTTGTCTGAAAGTACTAAGCGGAGTAGACGGCCGCGCATATATTTTACTCGCGTATTGCAAAAGACCTCACCCTTGACAAGAAGTGTATACAAGTGTGTAACACATTGCAGAGAGGAAATAAAGAACATTGCAGCTCGCAGATAGAGGTTGTTTCCCTTTATGCTGTGGACAGCGCGCAGGCACCTCATTTGGTTGCTAATGCGTTCAAGAACTCAATAAAGGGGATCACTTGGAAAAAGCTATCCCTAAAAGCGTTTGTGAGACGAAATACAGATGTGTTCTATTGCAGAATTTACTTGCGTCGATTGGTTGGCGATTTGAGCTGCAGCAGAAGATAGAGTGAGTTCGTAGGAAGCGTTGTGTTGTTGAGCCTCCTGCACGGGGTGCACGATTCACTTTTATGTGCACATTTTGAGCGAGCAAATGTATAACTGGCCGACACGGCTGTCACGGCTGCTGTGAACGCGCCCAATGTAGTTGCGTTGTCTGTGGCATCTGTCGCTTACTTTTGTTCCTCTCTGCAATTACGTGTCTCACTGTCTAAGCATATGCAGAAGAACAACAGCTGAACTGAAAGTGCTTCCAACTTTCAGCAAGTCAGTTGCACTCAGCTTAGGCGATACGTGAACCTAATTAATACCATGCACACGCAATACTCGAGGCCATAGACGACTGATTACGCATCCTCGTGCCACTTTTGTGTTAGTATCAGAAAGGAAAATTGGAAGACGAAGGGAACGCATACCTGGTTTTGTGTGAGCGACAATGGGAAAATCTGCGATAGCCTGAAAACCAGCACAATCCTCTGGGCCAAGACGACGTTTTGACGTTGGCGAGAATGGTTTTAGCGCAATTACGCCAAGCGTGCTAACGCACCCGATAAAGTGAATACAATCCATTCGGCCAGTACGCCTACCGCTACGTAGCAGTTCTTATATTCGGAAACGTGCACTGCTTCAGGATTCCGCAGCGCATACTGCTGTGGCTGCTAGACTACCTGTTTACAGTGCGCTTTAGGTCGCCGGAGTTGGCTATTTGTTGAAACTAAGGGGCGCAGACGGCGGCAACATTCAACGTGATGTTTTGTTGCAAATATGGTCTTGTGTGGTATCGATAGACCCTTTCACTCGGTAGTCGAGCAGAACTGCATGCTTCCTGTGGGAGGCATTCCGGCTAGGCTCAACCACATCAAATGTGACATTCGTGAAGCGGAAACACTCGCTTGTGTGCGTTCTCTCGGCATCGTAGACGCCAGATCGTCCCCATAGATTTGTTCTGCTTTTCCGTGGTTTCGTTATGTTTACATATTGTGTGATATCGATTTGCTGAAGTAGATGCGTGAACACTTTGAGGGGACAAATGCAGGACGGGACGACGCGGCAGCTGTCACGGTTGCTGCGAACACGCCCAACGTAGTTGCCTTGTCCCTAACATTCCTAGCCTGCACTTGTTTTTGCGTGTAGCCGTGGGCCTCACTATGTGTGCGTTTGCACAAAAGTGCCTAGTAAATCACAGATTCCTTTAACGTACAGAGCGTGAGCCAGGCCTAGAGTGCGAACCTGAAGAAGTGAAAAGATGCCTACGTCCACTCAGCACTAATGCCAGATTAAGTAAAATTTCAATCTTTGTGCTGGTTCCAATAGAGAAATGTGGACCATGATGGCGCCGGCCGATTTGTCGTTGTATGGGCGCCGTTTGATGACTCTGCTGTAGGCTGCACATCACAGTCGTAGGGGATGAAGCCACGAACTGCCGCCAGTGCGGGCAGCTGTGCCAAGTGTGGTATGGCTGTATGTGAATGACGCGTGAGGCAGCAATCCTTTTTGCTGACTGGCAGTGCGCAATATTGAAAATATGTGTCTGTCTTTCTACCTAGGCATTTTACTAGAAACTCCGAGAGCTATGAAAAAATGCTGTAGCTACAAAGCCCCAGGGATTCATCCTGCAGCTTGTACGCTCACAGTTTCCATGGGAAGCAGCTACAATTTACGGAACGGTCTGCAAGTAGCTTTGCTGAGTCGAAAGGCGAAATGCAGACAGGTCGGTGATCAGGGTTGTTCTATTTCGAGGAAAAGAGCAAAATTTTACCAGAAAGTGACCAGGTGTTCAAATTTCAGCCGGAAGCAGCTCAATCCTATATAAGCGACGTCTTCAGACACCAACGCCGTCTCAGTCCAGGGCTGAGCAGTGCAAACATGACGCAGAACCTCAAGTTAACGGAGACCTCACCAGTAAAAATGTGAACATATGCGGAAGTCCATCGGTATAATAAAATGGAGCAAGGGCACTGTCACTCTTTGGTTGAGAGGCATTGCTGTGTTAGTGAGATGCCTGCCGGCGGATCACGGCAACAACACCACAGCTGACTGCGCTTCACTGTATACTAAAAGGACCAGCATACAGGAGCGTGAAGTGCCTCCCGTTTCTGCGAGATTTGCTAGTAACTCTTGGCGCATACACATAGACGCTAAACCACTGGAGTGCGACCGTGTTTGTCAAAAGATACAAAATGTTGATGCCTAAAGTATGTATGTCGAACTTTGGCAAGGTTGCTGCAGTGGAGACCAGGCAGTGTTCTCTGGCATGTGCTGACAGTGTGCAACTCCCGAGTAACATCCTAGACAACCCTACTCGACTACGTGTTGAAACTACAATGATGCAGGGTCTTAAGCAGTTTCTTATTTTGACGGCGTAATTGGTAGCCGATGATATGGTTTAACAGAGCTGAGACACATTTCACGATTTTGCAGTAGCAGCGGCGAGAAATAATAGATTTCTTTGCCGACGGAGCTTCTGAATGAAGAGCCCGTCTAATCCGCCCAATGCCCAGGCTGTATGGGCCTACAGACGGTGCCTTGTACAGCATGCCATTGGGGCTGTGCATGCCAGTTTGTAGCCGGCGATTTTTGAATGCTTCGGGGGATTTTTTAACCCTCTGCTCAGCGTGATCCAGGCGGTGAGCTATTGCTGCGTTGGTTG